CTTTGTATGGAGGCTCACAATAAACACGAGAATACAGTCGAGCACTTATTTCACATGTTTCTGTTGGGTTAAATAATACATTTTTCTGATTCATCAAATATCACGTTTATAAAGTATATCCACACTCCAAAGTCTGTCCACATTCCACAGGTCGTTCACACATTTTGTCTGTCATCTGTCATCTGTCATCTGTCATCTGTCAGTGCCTGCTAACGGGCCAACGGGTATTGTTGTAAGCTGGTACATGGTAGTACAATCAACAAAATTTCTTGATGCTAGTCTCAAGGGTCCGATGATCCCTCCATACATGAAACACAAAACAGATCCCACTGTCGTGTGCTGTTTGTAGTGTATGAAGAAAATATTAAAACAAATTCTAAACGTAACTATTCGTCAAAGTTCTTTCAGTTCCACGTGAAAAGTATTGCAGGCTAATGCAACTTAAATTTGTTTGACGTGTCCTTTAACGACTTGTATAAGATACACCAAAGTCACATATCGACATAGGTAGACATTTTGAATAACTGAGCTTGTAAAAAAACAAAGATATTTGACAAAACAAATTTCACCAAATGAATGATAGTTTATTGGTCAATAGCAACAAACGAATATATTAAATTCATAATACCACCCCCCCCCCCAAAAAAAACAACACATCACCTAAAGAATTATAGTTTATTGGTCAACAGCAACACCCGAATCTATTAGAATACCTCCCCCCCTCACGAGTGACGAGTATTGTATTGCAGCCTCTCTGTACTTAGCTGATTAAAAAAATGTGCCCGCCCTAACCTTTGCCCTAAACCCCTTTTGACCATTCTCAACTCCGTTTCAACTTCCGGCCAACGAATGAACCTGTCGACAACTCGACATTCATAAACTCTCGACACCAATGCCCCAAACTTTCAGTCTCGATTATTCATGAAGAGAAGGGGTGAGGTGGGTTCATCGGTCGGCTAGTGCAGTCGTATGCGACATTCATTGATGTATACACCAGCAACATCTATTGATGTGTACATCTGCGACATCGATTGATGTGTACATCTGCATCATTCAATGACGTGTACATCTACATCATCCATTGTGTACATCTGAAGTTGTGTGACTACCAAGGAGCAATACCAATAGTAAATAAACATCCGACAACATCCGACATACAGACAATATAAACATCCGACATACAAACATCCGACATACAGACAATATAAACATCCGACATACAGACAAACATCCGATATACAGACAATATAAACATCCAACATACAGACAATATAAACATCCGACATACAGACAATATAAACATCCGACATACAGACAAACATACGACATACAGACAATATAAACATCCGACATACAGACAATATAAACATCCGACATTCAGACAAACATACGACATACAGACAATATAAACATCCGACATACAGACAATATAAACATCTAACATACAGACAATATAAACATCCGACATACAGACAAACATACGATATACAGACAATATAAACATACGACATACAGACAAACATCCGACATACAGACAATATAAACATCCGATGTTTTATGCATGTTCTGACCTTGACCTCCCCTCCCTCCCATAAGATGTCTGGGCGCCCTCTAGCGGGCGTCTATTGGACAATATTAGCTTCGATCCTTCCACGTGACTGACCATACCCTGGGAGCGAGCCACTCATGCATATACGGGTATCACGTGGGACATCACACCGCGAGCGACAGAACAAAACATCCCTCTATTAAAATGTTCACCACCTAAAGCCTATCTATATCTGGAGATCACCTAAAGCCTATCTATATCTGGAGATCACCTAAAGCCTATCTATATCTGGAGATGCACTCTCTGCGCCAGTCAAACAGTGGATGGGTATAAAGTCATGCATCATTGTCATGACGGCGTCTCCCACACATCTATTAGATGATTGTAGCTGGTCTCTGGTTGAAGATGGTCTCTGATTGAAGATGGTCTTCATTTCTGTGGAGCTTTTTTAAATACACAAAAAAATTAGAACATCACTCAATGTTTTTCACAGGAATTGTTAGATAATTCAATAATTCAACAGAATAACGTTTTTAAAATGTTCGATTGACCGACAAAATGCTGCAAGCACATGTGTATTAACACAACACATTTAGCAGCTTGTGCTAGCAACAGCACCGTGTTCCACCATATCTACACGGAACATGTTTCTACGAGCCTATAAGTTCTACACGGAACATTTTTCTACCAACATTTACACCGATTCTTTCGATACCAATCTGTAGGAGACTGGTTTGATTGAAGAATACATCAATAGATTAACCCTCCGACCCGACTAAAGTTGCTAGTACCTAAGCCTTTCTGGTCCCGAATAACAAGTTGTCTTATTTCTCATGAATATACATTTTGTATGTCCGTAGGTATGTACGTATGTATACCAGTACCAATACAAGACAGTGGATATGTAAGCCATTACCTATGTAAGCCATTACCTATGTCTGCCAGTAGCTATGTAAATCACATGAATTTTCCCAGGAATATATACAACAACCGCTAAATGTACTTTTATGGTCGTTCACTGTGATGGTCTCATAAAAATTACAGTCAATACAGGCTATTTGATATGGTCAATAGATACAGGCTATTATATATGGTCACTACCGGCTATTTGATATGGTCAATACAAGCTATTATATATGGTCACTATCGGCTATTTTGCCTGTGTCTACCTTGTTTAAATCTTCAACTACCCTGATCCTAACCACAAAGTAGCTCCCATTGACAATGTTATAAATTTCATACAAACTAAGTATGTAGACACATATCATGCACATATCATACAACAAAATTCGTGACGTCATACGGCTGTGTTTACCCGTTGCTATGTGAAATAATTGAGGATTTAATTAAGACAAGCACGGGCCATTTATCAGCGGCACGTGGGGCGTCCAGCGACACGATTATTAATTAATTAGCGACACACGAGAACATGGCTGTCAAAATGTATAACATTTGTAGCTCTTAATTAGATTGCCCGTCTACAGGCGGGGTAGCGCCAAACTCAAGATACAGATGGTGGCAAGGTGTCGTGGTGTCTTGGTGGTGGGATGGCGTCGTTGTGGTGGGATGGTGTCGTGATATCTTGGTGGTGGGATGGTGTCGTTGTGGTGGGATGGTGTCGTGATATCTTGGTGGTGGGATGGTGTCGTTGTGGTGGGATGGTGTCGTGATATCTTGGTGGTGGGATGGTGTCGTGATATCTTGCTGGTGGGATGGTGTCGTGATGGTGGGATGGTGTCGTGATATCTTGGTGGTGGGATGGTGTCGTGATATCTTGGTGGTGGGATGGTGTCGTGATGGTGGGATGGTGTCGTGATATCTTGGTGGTGGGATGGCGTCGTTGTGGTGGGATGGTGTCGTGATATCTTGGTGGTGGGATGGTGTCGTGATATCTTGGTGGTGGGATGGTGTCGTGGTGGTGGAATGATGTCGTTGTGGTGGTGGGATGATGTCTTTGTGGTGGTGGGATGGTGTCGTGGTGGTGGGATGGTGTCTTTGTGGTGGTGGGATGGTGTCTTGGTGTCTTGGTAGTGGTGGGATGATGTCTTGGTGGTGGGATGGTGTCTTGGTGTCTTGGTGGTGGTGGGATGATGTCTTTGTGGTGGTGGGATGGTGTCTTGGTGTCTTGGTAGTGGTGGGATGATGTCTTGGTGATGGGATGGTGTCTGACGGTGGGATGTTGTCGTGGTGTTAAGAAAAAAACCTAATCTAGTTACGATGGCCAAGCATCATATGTTTATGATCCTATTGATCAAAGATGAATGATTAAATTATGTGGGCAGCGGGAAATACAATTGATGGAGAGAGAAACGATCAGCCCCGCCTTACATAGGATCCATTACATCTGAAGAGATTTTTTAGGCCAGTCTGCTGTGTTCTGGGTGTCTGAATGTTTGTTTTTATATTTCTGTGCAGTTTCTAAACAATACGTCACTTAAAGTGTGTGAAGTCATAGGCTTTAGTGGTGTAGTTTATCAGTAAAACATCTTTAAATGGCATAATTATATAATTTATTTTGCAGGATTTACTAGTATCATCAGCTTGTCTTATCAGATTGTATCATGTACTTGTATCATGCTAGTATCATCATACTTGTATAATGTATTTGTATAATGTACTTGTATCATATACTTGTATTATGTACTTGTATTATCAGCTTGTATTATGTTACTTGTATCATGTTACTTGTATCATGTTACTTGTATCAAGTTACTTGTATCATGTTACTTGTATCATGTTACTTGTATCATGTACTTGTATCATGTTACTTGTATCATCAGCTTGTATCATCAGCTTGTATCATGTTACTTGTATCATGTTACTTGTATCATATACTTGTATCATATACTTGTATCATGTTACTTGTATCATGTTACTTGTATCATGTTACTTGTATCAAGTTACTTGTATCATGTTACTTGTATCATGTTACTTGTATCATGTACTTGTATCATGTTACTTGTATCATCAGCTTGTATCATCAGCTTGTATCATGTTACTTGTATCATGTTACTTGTATCATATACTTGTATCATATACTTGTATCATGTTACTTGTATCATGTTACTTGTATCATCAGCTTGTATCATGTACTTGTATCATGTACTGGTATCATGTTACTTGTATCATGTATTTGTATCATGTACTTGTATCGTGTACTTGTATCGTGTACTTGTATCATGTTACTTGTATCATGTATTTGTATCATGTACTTGTATAATCAGCTTGTACCATGTTGCTTGTATCATGTTACTTGTATCATGTTACATGTATCATGTTACTTGTATCATGTACTTGTATCAATACCTTGTATCATGCCCCTCACCATCGTGTACTTTCTCCCCCAGCTATGGACGACGACCGAGGACTTGTATCATACACTTGTATCATGTTACTTGTATCAATACCTTGTATCATGCCCCTCACCATCATGTATTTTCTCCCCCCAGCTATGGACGACGACCGAGGACTACAGAACAACGTCATGAGCAAGGTCATTGACCAGATGAATCTGAGCCTGAGCTACATCGAGTCCCAGAGGGACCAGATCCTCCCCCTGGAGGCCAACGTTGTCGTGCTGGTTGCATACGGCATCCTCTGCGTCATCGCCGCCTTCGGGAACGCCCTGGTGTGTTACGTCATCTCCAAGAACAAACGTCTGCATACGGCGACCAACTTCTTCATCGCCAACCTAGCGGTCAGTGATCTCCTCGTGACCTTCATCAACGTGCCTTTCAACATCGCCCGCAACATGATGAACGACTGGCCGTTTGGTGAGGTGCCGTGCCACCTGGTCAACTACTCACTGGTGCTCACCAGCTACGTCTCGACCTACACCTTGACCTCCATCGCCCTTGACCGACACCGGGTCGTGTTGAAGCCTCTGTCTCGCCGCATGACCCGGAAGTTCGCCATCAGCATCCTGGTCCTGATCTGGGTGGTGGCCATTGTCCTCGCCATGCCGTACGGCCTGTACATGCGCGTCTGGAAACTCAAGTTCCTCATCACGAAAGAATTCCGCCGCTGTCGGTTCGTGGATCCCAAACCGTGGGCTGGTTTCGAGAAGTTTCTGACCGTGACAACCTTTATCCTGCAGTACTGCATCCCCTTCTCCCTGATCGCGGTGGCGTATGGTCGGATCGTGCAAAGTCTCTGGGCTCGAACCCACGTCGGCGCTGTCACAGCCAATCAGCAGCTGTCTCAAGCACGCGCTAAACGGAAGAGCATCAAACTTCTCATCGCCGTGGTCATCGTGTTCGCCATTTGCTGGCTACCCCTGAACATGTACCACCTGTTGACCGACTTCCACCCGCGGCCAGAGACCTTCCAGTACAACTCGCTCGTCTTCTTCGCCTGCCATTGGATAGCCATCAGTAGCACGTGCTACAACCCGTTCGTCTACTGCTGGCTCAACGAGCACTTCCGGGAGGAAGTGAAAACGAGGTTCAGTTATATTTTTATGCCGTGTATGCGCCACAAGAGCAACAACGTGGACACGATTTACCTGAACGGCGACACGAAGACGACACGGAAAGGTCACGCCAGCAGTGCCACGCCCTCCAGCTGCGTGACCCACAGCATCCGGCGTGACCCGACGACGACAGGCACCGACTTCCTGCGCGACCAGATCAACCACAACATCCTGCTCGACCACCTCAAGGACGCCAACAAGATCAACATCGTCGAGCTGGCCGACTACGACGACGACATCATCACGGACTACACAGAGGAGGCCGCCCAGGGGCTGATACTCACCGTCGACTCCAACGGCTGCAGCAGCGCCACCTACCGCAACGGTAACAAACACGCCTAGTCACGTGACATGAGACTTTGTAACGAGAGCTTTCATTGGTCAACCGCGACCGGCGTCTAAAATGACGTAACCCAACACACAAACAGCGGATCTTTGTATCAACTTAACGAGACAGAACTCCTCGACGACTAGCTGAATTACGTGAGTTGCTATTTAAAGTTTACGCAGCTTTCAGCCAATCAACATATCTACCGTTATCCATAGGAAGTGACGCAAGTCTGCTAAGTCTGAACACTACTATGTTTGTCGGTTTGTCTAGCCGTGTTTCCATTTGTTGGATTGTGAATCCGCCTGGTCAGATTTTTGTACATGTTTCTAACAACATGACGAAAAGATATTTTTGAAAAAAAAAACCTACCCAAAACAGGAATTGCTTTGGAATTAGCTTGCCCAAAAACAAGGATTTGTGGGATTTGACTTGTCTAAATAGGGATTACAATGGAAGAAACATGATCTATCCTTAATGGTGTGACATCCAACACCAAATGCTAAACACATTTCTCTGTGTTGATGTCTACACATGTGCTGCCTGATAGGACGGCCCCAGATTCCAGAGTTGAGTTGAATTCGTGCTCTGAAAATTGTACTCTTGTCAAATTTGTCATGGAAAAATGTCCTTCGGATAAGTATATTATATCCTGGAAATTTTTCTCCCGGATAAATATATCATGGAAAATGTCCCCCCCCCCCCCCGGATAAATATAACATGGGAATTGTATAGTGGGCAGATGTGCCCAGACAAATGTGCATTAGACAATTGTATTTAGGAACAATGTATTGCACAGATATCTCTGGGATATTACTGGGGATATTGCCGGGATATGGCTTGGATATTTATGGAATATTGCTGGAATATTGTTGAGATATCGCTTGGGTATTTCCCCAACTTTTGAGCTGCAAGTCACGCGCCAATCTAACGTCGATGAGAAACAATATCCCAAAGACCTGGGCCAGGAGCCAACTCTCTGACGTCATCAACATGTTCTCGTGCGGTTCTACCATAGGGACGAGTTGCCTCGGCTTTTGGCTGAAAGATTCCTGTCCTTGTGTCACGTGTGGAGCATCTCCTCAGCTGTTGGCTGGTGCCGCACACGTGACTCACTCGTTGGTTCCAGCAACATCTCGTCTCACGTTCTCGTCACGTGGTATTGGCTGGGACTGGGGAACACAGGGGAACCTGACAAGGAACTGAAGGGAACCATCCAGGTACTGAAGGGAACCATCCAGGAACTGCCAAGGAACAGGACGAATGTGAACCTTACAATGAACGCCTGATTAGATTGGAGATAAATTTCATCTGCTGGAAAATCTAAAACATTTTTTCTGACATCATGATTCTATTTTTGCTAAATCCATTTATTTATACATACATGTCTTTACGTTATCCTTGATTAATGTGTAATGTCGTTGGTTCACGGCTTCATGAGTTACGTCATGCTGTGCAGCTACGTGGCTGCTTGACCAGTGGTCATTGCCACTCCTGATGTACACGTCTGCTAATGCCATGGGATGTTCTAGTCAATGCCAGAACTCAGTTCTTTTTATTTATTATTTCTTGCTGTTTCTGTGAGAAATCATTATAGAGTCACCACCCCCTGTTTTCTGGTCTCGCCTAGAGTCGCTGGTCCCCATAGTACTGGCCTCTGCTAGAGTCACCACTCCCATAATATTCCCCTCTCGCATGAAGTCACCAATTCCCTCTCGCCTAGAGTCACCACTCCCCTAATGCTCCCCTGTCGCCTAGATGCATCACTCCCCTAATATTCCCCTCTCTGCTAGAGTCACCACCTCGCCTAGAGTCACCACTCCCCTAATATTCCCCTCTCTGCTAGAGTCACCACTCCCCTAATATTCCCCTCTCTGCTAGAGTCACCACTCCCCTAATATTCCCCTCTCGCCTAGAGTCACCACTCCCCTAATATTCCCCTCTCTGCTAGTCACCACTCCCCTAATATTCCCCTCTCGCCTAGAGTCACCACTCCCCTAATATTCCCCTCTCTGCTAGAGTCACCACTCCCCTAATATTCCCCTCTCGCCTAAAGTCACCACTCCCCTAATATTCCCTTCTCGGCTAGAGTCACCACTCCCCTAATATTCCCCTCTCGGCTAGAGTCTCCACTCCCCTAATATTCCCCTCTCTGCTAGTCACCACTCCCCTAATATTCCCCTCTCTGCTAGTCACCACTCCCCTAATATTCCCCTCTGTGCTAGTCACCACTCCCCTAATATTCCCCTCTCTGCTAGTCACCACTCCCCTAATATTCCCCTCTCTGCTAGTCACCACTCCCCTAATATTCCCCTCTCTGCTAGTCACCACTCCCTTAATATTCCCCTCTGTGCTAGTCACCACTCCCCTAATATTCCCCTCTCTGCTAGTCACCACTCCCCTAATATTCCCCTCTCGTCTAGTCACCACTCCCCTAATATTCCCTTCTCGCCTAGAGTCACGTTCTAAGAAAAATAAATTCCCTCGCGTTTCGTCTGTCCAATTTTTGCATCACTCAAAAACCATTTGAACAGGCTGTCAATCGGAGAAAAATGTTTTAACTGCTCATCAATTTTAATTTCCGTTAATCTTAAGTATTCCCGTCTTTTTTAAAATAATTGTATAAATTAGAAGGAAAAACACAAAAACAATCCCGTTTTAAAACCTAGAATTGTCTATTTTTATGTACATTATTGATTTTGAGCTGAACTAACATTGGAGTGCCATATTGCGTCCATATGTCATTTTATATTGTCTGGTAAATAATGAAAACTGAATTATTTATTGCTGGCTCGTGCATATTGGTATTTTTGACATTTCTGTATGTTGAAAATGTTTGTAAATATATGTTTAACAATTCTTTATGTATGTATGTATGTATAAAAATATCTGTATGTTTATAAATATAATCATAACAATGCTTATGTATATGTAGTCAAAATGTATGTATGTCCAGATATGTACATATGTACAAGTAAACGTAGAATCTACATATTTTATCTATTTATAAATATGATTACAATATTAGTTGATAGGTAGTGTACAGATAGCCTGGGTTTAAAAAATGTGACTGTATCTAGGGACGCTATTGGTGTAGATCTATAGGGTCAACTTTTCTGGTGTGGTGGCCAGTGGTGTGTATGCTTACAGCATACAGCACACACATACAGCATACTGCACACACATGCAGCATACATGCGGCATTGCATTTCCTAGCAGTGACGTCAGAGCTGCCCATCATGGCCGCCTTGCGAGTCTTCCGGTTGAGGGTGAGCGGCCAGATGATCAGGGGCGGGGGGGGGGGGGGGGGGGGGGGGGGGCAGATGATCAGGAGCAGGGGGGGGCAGGCTGCTATGACACACGATACTTTGATTGGCTGCGGCACCAGATGAAAGGAACGAGACAGATCGGCTTCTGGAACTTTCCATGACGTTTCTGGTTTAATTACAAGACGCCCAGAAACTTGGGGTATACACGTTCTTGAGAAATGTATATCTATCTATCTGTATATATATATATATATATATATATATATATATATATATATATATATATATATATATATATATATATATATATATATATATATATATATATATATATATATATATACAGATAGATATATATATTATACATATAGACACACATATTTATATTTTATGTGTATCGATGTAATATGGAAGATGTATATAAGGTAAACATTGCTGATAGTAATTACTGAACGAGCTAGAAGAAAACTGCGGGAGATAATAAAAAGTATGATAGGATACGCAAAACACGACAGAACTCAAAAAGATAAATGATTTCATTTCAAGTGGTGAGATGGTGACGCATAGTGACACCTGAGTCACTATTGAGTGACAAGATGGTGACACATGGGTGACAGATGGGTGACAATTGAGTAGGGGTTTAGTTTAGGTGACGTTTACATGTCGTAAATACAACTGTCAGAAACGGACATATAGAGACAGATACATACGTCATACATTTGGAATAAGGATTAAGACACCACATACAAGTAGATACCACATAAACGACATACATACACTCCATACACGTAGGCGCATGCTACAAATGGACCTGTCTACCCCACACAAACCCCCAGAGAAACGAGTTGTCTTACTGCTGGGGACTATTGATTTCAAACAACTTTAACACTAGAGAGAAAAATAAAATACTTAATTGACGGCGGAACGATGAAGAAAAGCGACATATTTGCTGTGTGGGTGTGTGTATGCTTGTGTGTGTGTTCGTGTGTGTAGGATGAGTGTAATAACAAGCTGCAATATGTGTGTGACGCCTTAATGTGACAATTGTGAAATGTCACCTACGGCCATGTCGTCGTTTGCTGTGAGTGTGTTTGTGTGTGTATGTGTGTGAGAGAGAGAGAGAGAGTTAAGTGACGCACTTATTATATTATTATTATTATATTGTGAGAAAGCATACATGTGTGTCTGAGTATGTCTGAGTGTCTATATTTGTCTGTGTCTGTATAAGTCTGTGTGTCTGTATATGTGTGTGTCTGTGTATGTCTGTGTGTGTATATATGTCTGTGTCTGTATATGTGTGTGTCTGTGTATGTCTGTGTGTGTATGTCTGTGTGTCTGTATATGTCTGTCTGTGTATATGTCTGTGTGTCTATATGTCTGTGTGTGTATATGTCTGTGTCTGTATATGTGTGTGTCTGTGTATGTCCGTGTGTGTGTGTATGTCTGTGTGTCTGTATATGTCTGTCTGTGTATATGTCTGTGTGTCTATATGTCTGTGTGTATATATGTCTGTGTCTGTATATGTGTGTGTCTGTGTATGTCTGTGTGTGTGTATGTCTGTGTGTCTGTATATGTCTGTCTGTGTATATGTCTGTGTGTCTATATGTCTGTGTGTGTATATGTCTGTGTCTGTATATGTGTGTGTCTGTGTATGTCCGTGTGTGTGTGTATGTCTGTGTGTCTGTATATGTCTGTGTGTGTATATGTCTGTGTGTCTGTATATGTCTGTGTGTGTATATGTCTGT